CTACAATTTTCACATTCTGACATGATTTTGTTTTTTGCCCAATCCTGTGAATTTATGCTTTTTTCTTTTTTTTTTCTGTTTGTAAACCACAGTTATGCTTTCAATTGTGAGATTTCAACGTACTTTTACCATTAATAGTCTTGCAAACTTCTGTGAACTCTTATACTTCTGTAGCATTTACCATTATGTCACTCTGTTAGAAAGGTTTTTGTTTTATAAAAAACTTCTTCCATTTAATGTCCCAAGAATTTCTCAGTTGAAAAAAAAAGTTACATGAGAAGTTACTGCTTTTTTGTAACAAGCAATTCAAGTTTTGGTTCATTGGATCACTGAGTCTCTTACATTAGTGTTTGGTTTTCTTGCAGATGAAGCCAATTACAGTTTAATTCTCTTGGTGCTGCCACTTGAATGATGTGGTCCTCTGATCTTTAGTCTAATGATGAAAACAACCTTTTTGTGGTCATCAAAGAGCAGTGATAGCCAGAATCATTTGTATGTTCTCACAGAAAACTATGGTGAGAATCCAAGAGAATAGATTATTTCGAAACAGATGCACAAAATAGAAAATGCAATCTTTCTAAAAAAAAAAAAAAAAAAAAGCAAAGGTAATATTGGCTTCCAACTGTATTTATTCTGAGACTTCTCACACAACGTTTTTGCTTCTCCCTATTTCTTTGTGTTTCTGCTTGTAATGCTAAGCCATTAGAAGTATTTTTAAAGGACTGAGTACAAATCCAAACTGTAGTATCCAAATACGCACTGCTGAGGAAGGTAGAGTGACATATAGTGAGCAGAAGCAGTGCAGCAAGACAGCCTAGTTGTGGTTTGGGTTGTCAGAGTAACACCAATATTTTTATTGCAATATAGAGAAGACAGTGGATTTACAGCAGAACACAGGCAATGTTTGACTAGGAAAGGGTATTATACTTAGAAATATAAATAGGATTTAACACGTTTAAAACATGTTAATTAAAACATCTATACTTAACAAGCTAACATTTTTAAAGCCTTTATAAAGTAGTTTTTCAAAGTATGTTTCACTTTCATATTTCTAAAAAGAAAAGAGGAATTAAAGGAAGCATGAAAGTCCTTTGGTGTAAGCCCGTCTAGTATTGGTTATAATGATGAACCTGAAAGAACTCTCTCATGCAGCTGTGTTTGTCTTCATTTAAAAAAAAAATACTTAAAATAGATTTTTTTCATTGTTTCTCTATACAAACAAATTGAGTTCATCTTGTTCATATTAAAAAACATTTTCTGTGATAATTACAGCTACAGACAGGAGAGAGACATTCAGATACAGCTTTTCTGCAAGGCCACAGACAGAAAGCATACGTTCTAAGTGCTTGTATAGAGCTTTTACGCAGATAAACTAGGAAGTGGCCCAATCTGAATCTCAAAAATGACTTCACAACTGTAATTTTAAAAAAGGTCTCAACGCTGATCTGATCGAAAATCAGATCTCCTCTTGGTGCTTATCCTCTTTAAGGTGTCTAAAGCTTTTCACATTTTAGGCTTCTTGCATAGACGCTTACAGCTTCAGGACTAGCAAGAAAGTTGTTGCTTGAAAAAAGGACCACAGGTTTGACTGCTATTACTATGATATATTTATGGGCAGCTTAACTAACCCCATCTTTGTTCCTCTGAAAGGATTTTTAGGATATATTTTGAAGCACTGAACAGTTTTTTCAGCAGCATGCACAGAGGAACAAGCACACAATGGGTTGGATGCAGTAAATAGGCATTTAGTGACGAGAGAAGCTACGTTTGTCACATGCTAGTTTCACAAACCAAATTTTGATCCCTAAATTACTGGAAGGGCTGATGTGCTTTTCAAATTGGACTACCCACAAAAATACTTTGTTTTCCTAGCAAAAGTGCAAGTTCTACTGCTAAGGAAACATTTACAAAAATCAATAGACTTTCAAAACTTTTTGTTTGTAAATCTGTAGACTGACTGAATCTTGCTCTAAGCAATAAACAATTGCTATATAATCTAAATGTAGATGATCTTTGACTGGAATAGAATCGTATGGTTTGCAAGTCAGACCACAGTGGATGGGCAACATTCAAAACGCAGTACAAACAATTTATTTGGTTCAGCTTTCTCTTGATACCTTTTTTGTGCACAAACCAAGTGAGCACTGTTATCATTAGCTCCAGCTTATTTATTTATTTTAAATCTGTAGGAAATGAAGGACATTTATTTTAGCATTTATTTGCACCTTGGAAGCTGCTCTTTTGACTTTGTTATAATAAAGGCCTTCAAATTTAACTATTAGGTTGTACTTCCAGGAAATCTTCTGATTTCCATGAACTTGATTTAAAAAATACTACCATTCAATCATGATTTGGTTATTTGGGCTTGGTAAATTCTAGAAGATGTTCATTGCTTGTTAAACACGCTTTTGTTTGTTTTCTTTTTTTTTCCCCCCCTCTTTGTGCGTTTTATGAATAGTCAGTCCAGACTATTTGTAGTGCGATGGAGGATTGCCAGTATTCCCTGTTGGAATATAGTGAGCATCCATATAAATCTTTCTCATTCTTGCATTTATCTGGCTTCCAGTTATATTTATAACTGGGTACCTTTTACAGTAAGCCAAAGTCTTTCATTGTCAGTCACCTGTGACTGACAGCTGGCAGTCACACAGGTCAGATATACAATGGATGAGCGAACTGAGAAGCTGGCATTAGACTTCACTCCAAGATGCAGGTACCTTTGCTCCACCTCCAACAGTTTATCTGATTACTGCTATGTATGTTGCCGTTGTTGCTGATTACTTCTGTGTATTCTTGCTCTCTATATATGAACAGGTGGAGAAAGTATCTGCAGACATTAGTACCTTTTTAAACGTCTCTACTTCCCCTCCTCATTGACCATTTACAGAAGATTTTAAGTTGAATTTCCAAGGGTACCCTTGTTGTCTTTTGTGCACAGATTTGATCCTTCCTTTGTAGTTTTCTCTACAAAAGGCTGATCCTGCATGCAATTATATCCCTATGCATTTCCCAGAATATTGTGTAAGATTTGTCGTTCTTGGGTCTCTCACTCTCAGCTTGGATTTTAGATTAGGTGGGCTAAAGGGAGGCCTTTAAGTCAGAACAGAAAGATTCATTTTAGGCTCTGCTAAGCCACAGCAGTTAACTGTAACCTGCTCAAAACAGCACTGCCAGGGCCCCCCAGGAAGGAGTAGAGTAGCGATGGCTGCGTAGAGCTCATGGAAACGGCACCAAGTTTTAGTGTTTTGCGTGTGAACTTACGCTTCACAGAACATTTCTCCCTGTTTCCAGCAGTGCAGTTGGGATAAGTATTTGGACGTCTTTTTCACAACTTTTCATATAACTGTGGATTTAGGCAGCTCGTTGGAGTCTCTCCCCTGCTCCCCTTCATAGGAGGGAATAGTATTTGATTTTTATTTCTAAAGGTAGCTTTTATGTTAATAGTAATGCTCTTGAGGAAAAAAAAAAAGGCCTGAAATCTGGAAATTGTAATAAGTCCTCTTATTAGTAGGGAAGATTAGTAAGCAAAGAGGACTATATCCCACGTTAGCAAAACTTCTATGAATTTGTCGGGACTTTGAGGCCTAGTTGTTCCTGCCTCTTCAGTTAAACTAGGAGGAGCTGGTTCAGCTACAGTTGGCAATGTCTCTAGTCAGTGATGGTAGATTTTTCATTATAATGATGATAAGCTGAAAATAAAAGGGTTTTGGTGAGGCCTGGAACCCTTTGGCTTCATAATACGGTGAAGCAAATGCTCAGTGCTGCACGATGCACGGTAGTGAGGCTCTTGCTGTGAGGGAAGCTGCTGCAGTTCCTGGGTTAGCTGCCGTGCCAGCTGCCCTGCCTGTGGGAGCCTGCTGCAGTGTCCTGGCAGAGAGCTCAGAGTCACTGCTGCTCCGAGCATCTCTCTGCTGCAGGCAGTAGAGGACCCTTCCTGGATATCTGCCAGCGTTTACTGTTATCACAGAGAGTAAAATATGCAAAGAGTGTAGACAGGTATCCGGAAAGGAAAAAAGCCTGAAGCAGTTGTTTCTTTTACTTCTTCAATCATATGGTCTTACTGAATGATACTAACTTTTTTTATCATCTACATAGCTTTTATTCCTAGATCGTCTTCAGGGTATGAAATTTTAGAAAGGAATCAGGATAGGGAAAGGGAGGGCTTGTAAAATACGCTATATGGGGAAAGCTTTAATCGATTTACATTTGAAAAATAACTTACTACTTGCAAGCAGTCTTTTCTTACAGGAAGCTAGAAGGAGTTTAGTTGGATTTCTTGAGAAATTTTTTAGTTTTGTTTGTTTTTAAAGCATATATTTGCTCCTGGAGAAGCTGACTTTTTTAACTTTTGAGATTTGGGGGGTTTTTTGTTTTTGTTTTAAGAAGGTCTAAAACGTTTATCTTTTTGATTCCCCCAACCTTGGAAAATACATTGTAGCATCGTTATTGGGACAATTAAGAGCAAACTGCGCTGTAAAGGGTATGAAGGGGGACATCTTTGGGGTTTTTTTATTATTAGGGAAATACCTTTTAGTAAAAGGGAAAGTAGCTTTGGTAACAATGCCTTAAAAGATTAAGTGCCTTGGAGCATAGAAAAACAAACTTACAGATGCATTACTTTTAAGTGGAAGAAGGATTTTTCCCATAAGCAATTAATACAAGAAGCTTTGTCGCTTTGGTACTGTTTGTACTTGTTCCTGTCAAAGCCATTAGCGTGCATATGAAGTTATAGGTGAAAATACAGGTATTAAATATAAGAGAAGGTGTTTTAGCAGGTGAGAGGCAGTCAGTTTTTACATGTCTGAAACTGAGGTTTCCTGCCATCGTTTATATGAGGAATAACTAAAATACCCGAGAACTGGAATGTTTCTGTTCTTATAAAAGATCATTATGGTACCACTGTGAAAGCACAAACTTACTAAGTGTTGCTGGCTAACTGAAAATTCAGTGTTTCAAAATACTGCATTTATTAATTTTGCTTTGTATATTTTGCTGTCAAGGTGACATGCTTGCAGGACTTCTTTGGAGATGATGACGTCTTCATTGCATGTGGACCTGAGAAGTACCGGTATGCTCAGGATGACTTCGTGTTGGATCATAGCGGTAAGACTGTACATCCTGAACCCACTGACGTAGCTTAACTGAGATCACCCCCGACACCGCTTCATTCTTCAACAGCTACATGTTTTAGGAAAATGTGCATTAAAATGTATTTTCCTGTTGATTAAAATGTTTCTCCAAGCCATCAACTAACTCCTCTGTATCTGAAAAAGTGCACTAAGAAACCTGATTTATTTTCTTGGAAAACAGACCATGTCCCTAAAGTTATATGGAGAAGAGCACTGAATTTTAAAAGATTCAGTCATTTATCTAAATAGATCTAAAATCCAGTAAAAACATTTTCTTTTTACAATTTTGGTCTTTGAGAGGGTCTCTGTGCTGCTGTCTTCATGAGAAATTTCAAAATTCGCAGTGGTAGCTGCTCTTTTCAGGTTTTGAGGAATTGTTAGGCTCATTTCACACATTCCAGTCTTCTCTGCTATAGACCATATATTGAGCCAGTTTGTATTGGAAGATTGTTGGGGAGGCTTGGGGGAAGAGGGGAGGAGGTGAGAAAAAGCACTTTGTCCATGCTGTCTTCCATTGACAGATTGTGAATTTAACTTGTTTGAGAAAGTTATTGATTCATAAAGAGAAAACGTGTAGCATAAATTCAAGAAAAAGCTCTGAACTTTACCAGGGAGTTTTAGAATTGGCTTGGAATATCAAATCATGTAAATCGTTCTTTTTCTCCTTGTTTTTTCTGTCTGTATTGGTTCAGCTGTAGAATCACACTGACTTCCTTTTATGAAAAATGAGTCTGTGGTAATGAAAACTTGCCCTGGCAAGAATCAACAAATTATTTGAGGAGAGCTTCGGGTTGTGAATAAGAGTTTTTTGCCTTGCTCTCAGGTAACTGAAAGCAAAAGCACATGCTGTTTTTCTAATTTTTACAAAAGGGATAATTTCACTACAGAATCTTCTGTTACATCAAAAAGTATAGGTATCTATCTAACCACACTGATCCATGTACTTGGATGACTGGGGGATTCAGTTGGCTGCCATTCTGCTGTTACTGCCAACACGCTGTTTTTCCAGAACTACCTGACCATGTTGATTCAAGTAATGTACTTGTGACAAATATAATTTTACTCTCATGCAGGCATGGGAGAAAGTGGTTGTATTAGCTCACACTGCAAATCACAGTCTGGGCAAAACCATAATTTTCCTTGCAGATCTTAAGGCCATAAGCTTGCTTTTCCCATTACGCTATGCACAGACTAATTGGGTTCATCTTCTCACTGAGAACCCAGTGACTGAGAGTGTTTTTCTTCCTTTCTCTCTTCACATTCATTGGTCCCTGCTTCTTGTTACATTTGTGGATGTCTTAATGGAGAAAAGAAGTTTAAAGAAAGATGTGGGACATGACTTGACTGGCAGAGGATGGTGACTTGGATTACATTGACATCACAGTGATGAATAACAGGCACAGTTAGAAGGGAAATTGATATAATTTGATTGGGAGGGATTTGCAGTGGATGCTAACTGTAGGAATTAAAATGTTTCTATAATGTCAATACATGTTTGACTAGTGATTTCTTTCCCATTTAGGTTGTGCTTTATTTAACGATGTGTAGCTGATGGTAAACGGCATGTTGTCTCACCTTTTGGAAACCATAGGCATTTTTCACATCTTTAAAAAAAAAAAAAAAAATTGGTCAGAATGTCATTTTCTTGCAAAAGAAGAAGAGTTGACCTTGCTGTGTCCTATATGAAGCTGTCATTGCAGCATGCAAAACTTGCTGAGCTATCAGAGGAACCTTAGCATCATCTGACTCTTTCACTCTTTCAGCTGTGCCTAAGTACAAATTTGAATTATAGTCATAATCCCATTTCAAGAGATGAAATACTACAATCAGAATACTGCAGCATTTGACCAGCTCAAAAAGTTTTGTATGGTATGTGGGTTCAAGTACTGAGATTCATTTTTTTGGACAATAAACAGCAATAGTAAGGTTTGGAGGAAGCCTGTATACAGAATTGTTTTCTGAACTCCATCCATCTATCTGCTCGTAGAATGTCGTGTTATGAAGTCATCTTATTCCCGATCATCTGGCATGAAGCATTCTGGATCCAAAAGTCCAGGACCTTCACGTCGAAGCAAATCACCTGCCTCAGGTACAACTTCTAGGAAAGAGCTGAGCACATAAAATACACAAAACTCAGAATTTCCTTAATGGGGTGAAGAAACTCTTGGCTCTGGGGGAAATACAAGTGCCATGCTTTGTTTCTTGAGAGGAAAAATACTTAAAACAGTTTGCCTCATAGATGTAGTATCTATTAATTTATAATAGAATATGTATTTAGTTTTGACTCCTGAGAAGAAACATACTTTCTATTTTCTTTTTTTAATTAACACAAAAAGTTTCATTTTGTGAACACTAGAATAATTTGTGCTAGTTGTACACTTAGGATACGTTTTTAGCATGGTACTTGATTTTTCTTTATTGTACTCTCTATTAACTACAGGATGACTATGTGGTTAAACTAAAGTGTACCCTTAAGTATTTTGAATTTGAAAGGTTTTTTCTACATAAGCCAAATATTATCAAAATGCAGGATTTCTATGTTTCAAATAATTTTAGGAGCTGTTCTGAAATGTTATTGCCCATTAAAAGAGAGATTCTTTCTTGTGCTTCCTATAATTTCATAGAAATGTTCCTGTTATATATTCACCTGCAGTTTGACTGAATACCCTATGTTCCAAACATTGAGTTTTTTATGTGAATAAATAGAAAGGAGAAACTTGATTTTCCTTTTTTTAGCTCTGCATTTGTTTTCTAAATATAATAAAACTTAATTGATTTTTCTCCCTCAGACCTGGCGAAGTAGCCCTGAAATCAAACCACTGAATATGTGAATATACAATGCTCTGTTCTGGTTGTAACTATGCATGTAAGCTCCTGTGCGTGTATTCAAAACTGCAACATGTTCCATATTCTCATAACCATATCAATATTTGTTTTGCTTAATTGATGCTGGTTAAAGTCATTTTATGTTTTTGAGTTCTTTAAAAGTGGAATATTTATCATCTGTTTATAAAGTTTGACTGCTTAACTGAAAGACTTCAAAGACGGTTCACAACAACAACAAAAAGAAAAACGTAGCATGAAGGGCGAGTTTCACAAATGATCTACATTTCATGCAATCCTCTTAACTCCCATGAAATTGCATGGGATATCTACCAACGATGAATTTTGTCCAGGGTACTTAAAATCAGCATTATCATTTCCTTACTTCTACTTGGACACCTCCTTTGGTTAGGTTAATCTGAAAATTTTATACAAACTGTCTGGTATTTATTCTTCTATTTACCTGGCATTTTTTCTCATGTCTTTAGTTATCTTTTTACCCTTCTTCCTATCATGCATGTTCAGAGCTGTTAATAACCTCTCTCCTTAATGTCTTTTTCCTTTGTGTCAAAAATATGAGTACAGTAAAGAGGGGTGGCCACTACTCCAGTGCTTATTCTACAGCAAAATCCCCAGGTGAGCCATTATTATTATGGCTGTATATCACCAGTGTGTCTCCTTCCTGTCCATTTACCCTTTTCTCTGTATTGTCAGTGTTTTTAAAGCTTGAAACATACATTTTGTGCTCTTTAAACCAGAGACAGAATGGAGTCTAGCTTACTTGTTAAAACAGATCATTTGAATGAGATAAGTGATGATTTATAGTTGTTGGACAATGGTGTCAAAGTTAGATTTGCAAAGGTACAATTTGACCACAAGTAGAGGAACATCCTAAGGAGCAGTATATTTGTATTCTAAAGCCTATG